AGCGCTCACGCACGCGTCCGGAGGCACGTACACATTCACGAGAATGAAAGAGGAAAACTCCCGCGGCGAGTACAAAGGTTTACAGTTTAAGAATAGTGCCTTTAAGTTAGGACCGCATACCTTTTTCAGCGTTGTCACATCTGAACACCAACTTTCGTTGATGTAGAAACACAATCCAGCACCTCTGGTTTTCCCCGTTAACTCCGCGATGCGATCCGCTCTGAACAGCTGGAAGCCCGGCAGATGAAGCATGTTATCTGGAATGGCTTCACGCCAGGTTTCAGTGAAGCACAGCACAGCAGAGTGTGAAAAGTCCTTGTTGGTGAGAAGTTCATCCGTTTTGTTGAGAAGGGAATGGACATTCGCGCGATGAATGCTTGGGAGCGCAGTTCAAAGCCTCGCGTGGAGCTTAACCAGCATGCTTCCCTCTTCTGCGTCTGCACGCGCGTTTGAACAACACGGCTGTACCTCCGACTAGAATGTCCAACAAAACGTCAGAATAATCAAAAACCGGAAAAATGTGACCCTGCAGCACAAAAGCAGTCATAAGTAGCACATGTATATTTGTAGCAATAGCCAACAATACATTGTATGGGTCAAAATTATACATTTTTCTTTTATGCCAAAAATCATTAGGATATTAAGTAAAGATCATGTTCCATGAAGATATTTAGTAAACAACTTACTGTAAATATATAAAAACTTAATTTTTGATTAGTAATATGCATTGCTAAGAACTTCATTTGGACAACTTTAAAGATGATTTTCTCAATATTTAGATTTTTTTGCACCCTCAGATTCCAGATTTTCAAATAGTTGTATCTCAGCCAAATATTGTCCTATCCTAACAAACCATACATCAATGGAAAGATTATTTATTGTGTAATGTGGATTCTTGTGGGAATGATGTGTTTCTCTGCGGTTGCCATGGCAACTATAAAAACGATTGAGACTTGCTTTGCTCCATTGTTGCACAGAATTCAAGGACGTTTGGCCGGTTTGCTGGATGAAATGCAAAATTCTCTGACTCATTTACAGCTCACACTAGTATTATAGATTAGTATTATTATAGACATTAGTATTATACAAATCTTTTGACACTTGTGAAGCTTTTCTCTGCAGTACTTGGTCTGTCACATTATCAAATCAGTTATTAGGTGCTATAATATCATATGACAATTTTAAACATTAGTTACATGTGCATAAATACACTTGACAGATGCTTTTATCCAGACTCAGAAGTGTGTAACGCAAGCTCTTCTTGCTATGCTGACTTGATTTCAGATTCAAATTTTAGTCCATGTGTTTCTAACATGTTGCCGCAGGGGGAAATTAGCATAAAATGGTCAGTTTTCTCTTTCAGGTCAAGTACTGTCATAGTGGAACAAATTTTGCTGAGTAAATTAAACTGTTGGCAAGTGTACAGCAACTAAGAATTCGTAATGACATTTGGTTTAATGACAGACATTTATAGGAAGCGGTTTCAGCCTGAGGTTTGTTACGGCCACAGTCACAGCCAGCTGGACATCCGTATATCTGTGTAGATGTTTCTGTTGTTCAGACTGGACACTGCTGCGTTCACAGTGTTAACAGATGTCTTTAATGCCACAGGAACGGGGTTTGTCTAGATACACTGACAGATGCTCAAAAGGAGACAGGAAGAAATGGATTTTTACATATAAATAACATTTATATATCGTGTTTTTAAGACTCTTCAGCAAAACTGGACTTGTTTTCCCTGTGTTTGACGGGTTCGAGCATTCATGTGGTGCCATCAGCCAGTCAGTGTTATCTTGATATTATTTTCCTGTGATTAGTCACATGTCGTATATTAGGGTTGTGCCGATAGACGATAGTATCATGTATCGATGATCGTCAGAGATATTGCCTGTGGCTGATGCCTTTGACCATAGCAAGACTATTATTATTATTATTATCCGGCTAGTAATACTATACTTCATATTAGGGCTTATTTGTTGCATTATATTTCTTTTTCCGTGTTTTCACAGTGTTGAGTGTTATAACCAATCACACACGATTATGCTGAGCTTATGAATGCAATGGCCAATCAGAGGCGTTCAGATGAGTCACCGTTGACTGAACTCTGACTCGCGAGTTCTCTCATCATAAACAAGTGCATATGTGAGAATAAGAGATTTATTCATCATACAGTGTAGATTCACTGATTATAACGGGAGTATTTGTAAAGTGCATAAACTCGCGCTAGACTGAGCTTGTGAGGATGTTTGGATGTAACTTATGATGTTTCTATTTATTTATGTTAAATACAAATTCAGTCTTATTTAAAAAGTTAGGCTGCTTTTAGCCGTATGCTGGAGTTGGTTCACTTTCCGGCAATGAAGCCAAGTAAATAAATAAATTAGCAGGATAATATCGTGTATCGGCGATCTCACAGGCTGATGGTAGTATGATATGAATATTGAGCATGTCGCCCAACACTATGGTATATGAAGCAAACACTCATCCGGTGAGAGCGGCAGGTTTGTGTGATCCGTACAGGTGTTCTCCGGGTGTTTCTGATCGGTGTAGTTGAGAACACCTGTAGGATCATGTTTGTATTCTCTGTCTCTGTAGATTTGGGCCTGTTCTCCACGAAGACACTAGTAGAGGCAAACCCGGAGCACCTGGTGGAGGTGCGGACGCAGCTGTGTCAGCCGGCCGATGAGAACTGGGATGCCAGCGGTCTGAAGAAGCAGTGGCGCTGCGAGAGCATACGCTCCTACACCACCATCTCCACATACGCACAGTACCAGGCCTCGTCCTTCCAGGAGTCGCTGCGGGTGAGACGCACGCACACAGATCGCCGCTCATTACAGCTAGCATTAGAGCTGGGGATCCAAAACCAGTCCCATTTGACAACCGGAGACGTGTGCCTTTCAAGTCTGCTTAACGATTCCTGCGTTCGCATTTTAATGTGATATAAAACTATTTAAGCGCAGGAACGGAAAGAACTTGCGCCGTGTTTGTGTACAGCGCAGACGTCTGAAGCATATAGCATGTCATGATATAAATTTTGGCCATATCGTCCAGCCCTACGTTAGCACAATGATCGGTTACGTGTGGCATTTTGCATATTAAATAACCGTGTTTGTGTGGTTTCAGGAAGAGAATGAGAAGAAGGGCCAGAAGGAGCTGTCAGACTCTGAAGCAACGTCATCAGAAACGTGAGTGTCGCGCGCCTAACGTCCGCTGAAGTGCTTTAGCTGCGCTGACGTAACCCTGCGCTTACTCTCTCCCGTCTGCTCAGTGTTTCCAGGAGGCAGAAGGGTCCTTTAAAACAAGTCAAGTTTGGGACGAACATTGACGTCTCCGATGAAAAGAAGTGAGTTTTCATGAGGTTTCCTTTTTGCACTTCTTGTCAAGTTGTTTGTATTTGCAAGCAATAGGGGTGTGCTATATTGACCAAAAATGATGTCTTGATATTTTGTGGGATTTTATCGATAACGATAATTAGACTATGTTGTGCTGAGTGTGTTATTGTGCTGATATCTTAAGGACCGCCGTGGACAGCTGACTCCTAAAGTTTTTGATATTTGCAATGCAGAGGAAACACAGAAGCTGCGTCTGAAGAGGCATTTAGATGTATTTACACACTGTTTAATGCAGCTCAGAGGAACAGTTTCAAATACATAAATAATATTTTGATATTTTAAACACAAAATGTTGAATGCTGATATTTGAAATTATTTAAAACTTGAACAAATAGGCTACTTTAAATGTGAAGTTAAAACCGCCAGCAGGTGGCAGCAAGTCACTGTTAATAAGTGAATCATTGCGACTGAACCGAATCATTTAAACGGTTGATTCATTCAGGAACGAATCACTGTCATGTTGCTCAGAGACACAACAGCGCTGTGGCTATGTTTGGAATTATTTTTGTTGTCGAAATAGAGCAAAAACAGGCAATATGGTGTCTAACCCGTAAGTGTCTTAATTAACTTCTAGTTTATTGAACTGTTGTAAAAAATCAATATCACATTAGTAATCATGCTGATTTTTGGAGAAAAAACGCCACTCTGTGTGATATTGATTAACTATATGAAATGATATAAAAATAAAAATTTTCTGCCCCCATATCCTAAATGTTGTAATCATTTTAAATGCCTTTTAATAGTCTAACCTAGTAGACTTCACGTCATGTATGTGTGCACTCTGTAAGTGTGTTTTGTTTGGTTTTGCTCGATAATGTCAAATCACACATCGTTAAAAAAACAATGACAACATTATCGCAGACGATGTATATCGCACACCCCTAGCAAGCAGTGATTTCAGATTTCCTGAGTTTAACATGTCTCTGAATGCAGTTTACGAGGCTGTGAGAATGACAGTCCACAGCTTTACTGTAATGTAAGTCTGCCAGTCAAATAAAGCCGAGGCGCTGCCCCCTGCAGGTGGAAGCTGCAGCTGCAGGAACTCGGTAAGCTGCCTGCGTTTGCGCGTGTGGTGTCTGCTGGGAACCTGCTGAGTCACGTGGGGCACAGCATTCTGGGTATGAACACGGTCCAGCTCTTCATGAAAGTCCCAGGCAGCAGAACTCCAGGTGAGACGCCACTGTTATCGTGACGCTTCAGAAGCACAGTGAAACCAGTCTGTCGCAGCAGGTCACGTGATCTCTCTGTTCGTGTTCAGGCCATCAGGAGCACAATAACTTCTGCGCCGTCAACATCAACATCGGGCCGGGCGACTGCGAGTGGTTTGCCGTGCCGGAGCCGTATTGGGGCGTGATGAGCGAGTTCTGTGAGAAGTACGTGCACGGCTCTTGTGAACGTTTTGTTAAATCGTCTAACGGATCTTAAAGTGGCTTCTGTTGATATGCAAGAGTCTCTCTCTCAGGAACAACATCAACTTCCTGAAGGGCTCGTGGTGGCCGAATCTGGAGGATCTGTACGAGGCTAACGTGCCGGTGTACCGCTTCATCCAGCGGCCTGGAGATCTGGTGTGGCTGAACACGGGGACGGTGCACTGGGGTCAGGCCATCGGCTGGTGCAATAACATCTCGTGGAGCGTGGGCCCTCTGACCGGTGCGCAGGTGTTCAGCCTGGCTCTCTGCATGTTTCTGGCTTGTTGTGTGATTGTCGTGTTTGTCTGTTTCCTGCAGCGTATCAGTACAAGCTGGCCGTCGAACGTTACGAGTGGAACAAACTCCAGAGCGTCAAATCTATGGTTCCCATGGTGCATCTGTCCTGGAACTTGGCGAGGAACATTAAAGTGTCCGACCACAAGCTGTTTGAGATGATCAAGTGAGTGTGACGTTTTCTCGATCACTTTGTCTCAGCTCCTCTGATGATCTGGATCGAATGGTAAAACATGTCTGGTTCACAGGTTCTGTCTGCTGCGGACGCTCAAGCAGTGTCAGACGATTAAAGAGGCGCTGGTGTCTGCTGGGAAGGAGACCGTCTGGCACAGAAGAAGCCGAGATGAGCCGGCTCATTACTGCAGCATCTGTGAGGTGAGTGCTGGACTCTACAGCAGAATAACTGTCCGCGCTCATCTGAATCACGCTCCTGTGCTGCTGTGTTCCAGGTGGAGGTGTTTAACCTGCTCTTTGTGACGAGCCACAGTTACTCCAGGAAGTCCTGCGTGGTTCAGTGTCAGGATTGCGCTCGGAAGGCCAGCAGTGAGCTCGACGGTTTCGTGGTGCTGCAGCAGTTCAGGATGGAGGACCTCATGCAGGTTTACGACCAGTTCTCATTAGTAAGTCGCTTTATTTGACTGAATATGCCGTTTATGTACTAGAGTGTGTCCTTTTGTTCGTACTGCAGATTAACTAGTGATGGTTCAAGGAGCGTTGCAGGTTTAGTCACGGTTTGTGTCTGAATTGAGACGTCACTGGCTTCTGTGTGTGTGAATCATGAAGTGAGCAGCATGCAGGGTTGGAAAGGTCATGGAAATGTATTGGTTAAAAATGTGTATAAACCCTGAGCATGAATAACGCTCTGCGCTCAACCTTGTGTTTTGTAGGCTCCTGTTCTGCATTCGTCTTCATCTTGACATTAAGACGCCGTACATGTGGAGAATATCGCATTACAGGAACTCTCTAAACGGACCATTTCTGATATTCAGGACCGTGGCGCTCGTCTCTCGTGTGGCTGGGGACCATCGGAGAGCACGGGACCGTCGACTCAAGTGGCTGTGTGTGTCTATGCAACCTGTTTATAAACTGCAGCGTGTGACTGTGGCCTGCGGGGGGCGCTAGTGAGGAACTTCCCCTCTACACACCTCTTCCTGAACGGGCCGCTCGCCTCTGATTCACGTGAGAAATTAATCACAAAAACTGGGGAGGAATTTATGGGAAACTGGTTTTGTACATATTGTGTCACAACCGGCATCGTCATTTGTACGGTAGATAGCGATTTTACGACGACTTTGGATGGCAAAATCTACAAAAAAATAAAAATATTTGTAATGTGAAGAATTAGGTGATATATAATTTTTTACTGCTTTTATGTTTGACCTGTCTCGTTCTTTTGACACCATGTTGGATATTTTGTTTCTTAGGTAAGAAAAAGGAAAAAATTGTGGAAAAAACATAACAGCCAAGTCACAAAGAAAATGGGTTGCACATAGAGTAAGGAATAAAGTTTAAATGGTCTGTTTTTTTCCTTCCTCGTTTGTTTCTAATCCTGATGTACATTTACACTATTTATAAATACATATTTATTGCTTGAAGATATTTGTGGATGGAATGCTGTTATTTTTCCCAGAGTACCTGCCATTAAATTTGAAGGAGTTTGGTCATTTAAACTACTCCTGCATTTTTCTATATAGAATTAAACTGCTTAGTAAGCATTGTACAGAAACTATAAAATTGTTTTATTGTTTGAAGAATGTTTTATGAGTTATTAAACAAGTTGTCAACATATGTGCCGACACGTGGAGATCCTTCTCTTGGCCTCCTCTGAAATCTTTATGATTGCAAATTTTTTTTTTTGTATACAATGACAATTGTCAAGCGAGTGTTTTGAAATATTAGTTTATTTTAAAATGCTCGTTCCCTTTTAACGTTTCTTTGTTGTTGTCGGACAAGACCTGCAGCCTTGCTAGAAGATTCGCAACGATACCCCATTCACTATCACTGTATACAGTAATTAAGTTACACTCATGAGGTCTGTTGCTATTGAACAGGCCTTTTGAAACCTCCAGAAAGGTTCAAGTTCATCTGCGTTCACTGACAAACATTTACAAATGGACTTATTGTTTACGTCTGACGTGCAGCGTGTCTGCTCTTAACGAGTGTTCCTCGTTTGCTCGGTGAAATTCACCTGTCTGGTGAGAAGACGTTCCTCCAGAAGTCTTGTGCTTCAGGAACCACTTGAATGTGGTTTGGTCTTCTGTGGTTTGGTTTGGTCAGTAATGGCCTCTTGTTATGCAAGAATCTCTTGTCTTTCTTTCCCTTTTATTTGTACTTTTCACAATCTGTTATTGTTTAATGCAAAGCTGAAGCTAATGAGTTTCCTCTAAAGTAACTGCAGTCAGCAGCTAGAGAACTGCGTGTATGTGTGTGTGTGTGTGTGAGAGAGAGTGTGTGTGCGTGAGTGAGTGAGTGAGTGAGTGAGTGTGAGAGAGTGAGTGTGTGTGAGAGAGTGAGAGTGAGTGTGTGTGTGAGAGAGAGTGATTGTGTGTGTGTGAGAGTGAGTGAGTGATTGTGTGTGTGTGTGTGTGTGTGAGAGAGAGAGTGTGTGTGAGAGAGC